TCAAAAAAGAACAGGTTCTTCTGCTTAGAGTGTGTACTGCCATCTTCACCCAAACAGAACAACATGTGGTTATTATAGCTCTATCCAGACCGGAAGTTGCCCTCATACAACTTTAACGACCGGGTGTTCTATTCCAGTGAAGACAGTTGAGCAACAGCTCGTCCTGGACATCAATATTATGCACACTTGCACACAACAACACCCTGAAGATTCAGCAATGCCAACTAAAATGGGTGACAGCAAGTGAATGGAGGAAGAGAGGCAGGCATCAGACACGTGATGCGCATCACACAAGTGAAACACAACAGATACCCAATTGCATGACCAGGTTGCATTACACCCTAAACTGGACGAAGACAAGCCTAGAACCTGGATCCACAGGACACAGGGCCAAGTAACCCAAGTAGCCGCAAACGCAGTCCTAAAGATTACTGCCCCACTTGGATGACGACAACCAGATGCATACTTTCCAAGTTTCTATACAAAGTATTCACGATAAGCAAACTTAGCAGTGTCCACTCAAAGCATATGATACAGATAGTCGAGCAATATGAGAAAATTCCCGGTAGCAGAACCTCAGTCTAAAGAACTGACCTTCACAAAGCAAAGAATCAACACTGTATAAACAGAACCTGAAGTAAGGCAAGTAATCATGCACCACGAGAAAGGGTCTAGAGATTAAAGAACCTCTGTTCAAAGAACTGACCTTGGGCAATTGTCGAGCCAATGCCGCCAAGAAGCGAGCCTCCTCCATCCCTTTGGGGAACAGCAGGCGGGGGAGCCTGTGCCACTGCATGCACAGCGACCACAAACACAAATACCAGATATGAGAGAACTTAAGGAGCAGATTCATCCCAACCTCACGCTCCACGATTCAAACAGTTTTTCCGAAACAAGAGGTAGCAGCATGGGAAATGACACAAAGATAACACAATCAGCGGCAGACACAACCCAGCTCATGAGGCCCAATGGCTCACCGATGTTGACGAACAGAAACACTGAGACTGAATCCTGACCAACTCGAATACAATGCTGACAGAGACTATCCCCTTTAAAAAGGAAGTAGGGCCACAGGCAGGGTAGTTTTGCAGCCTATGGCCGACCGTTCTGCAGCTTACCAGTAGGGCCGACTGGTAGGCCATCTGCCAGCTGGTCACAAGAGGGTCATCCACTGAATCTTTTTTTTTTTTTACTCAGGGCTGTACTGCACTTACTATACAGCCCAAATCCGCCGATAAACTTCTAGGAAGGGAGAGTTACGGGGAACGTAGGGGGGGAGGGGGGGTATGGGGGTGTTGGGGGGCCGTTATGGCGTGTTGGGGTTCTGGGAGGGACACGGGGAGTGGCGGTGGGGAATATTCAGGGGGCATGAAGGTCTGGTTTTTTGTCGTTTCTTTTTCTTGTGGAATGCCTACCAACAACTGACCAGTATGCGCTACGGCCGCAACGGTCAGCTGGTAGGCCGCTGACCAATCAAAAGCACCTACCATTGGCAGGACCACTCTGGCCATAGGCAATAAACACAAACAAAGTCATGTTGCGCTTCAGTGTACCTGGATTTCCCAGTATGCCTTACAATTATTCCGGTCGTATATAGAATCACAGTACGACTTAGAATTGTGTGTATGTGCAGGGGCTCCACACTCTTACCCCTACCAACTACACAGACTCAACCTTGACCCTATCAGCTATTGTCCTAACCTTACGTTCTACTTCATCAGACTCGTTGAAGACTTTGCATGCTGCTTTCAGGCACGACCTACCACTAGCCATAGCACGAACACGTAGCTGAGACCGATGGCCTGGGCCAGCTTGAGAGCAGTGCAGAGATGGAAAGAGCCTCCCTTTAACTGAGATCTGCGATGTCACAACTACACCATCAACCTCTTCCTCAGCATTCAGATGAGAGCAGTGCAGAGATTGAGAGAGCCATCCTCCGACTGAGATCTGCGATGTGGCTACTACACCATCAACCTCTTCCTCAGCATTCAGAGTTTGCCCATCCTCCCTAACGCTCTCAAAGTCTCTAGCCACACGGGTCAGGGTCCAGCCCCTTTATGAGCAAGCTCCCCCACTCTACCAACTACACGCAGAGCTGTCATCAGTCGATCGTTTCGCAGCACCACTATGGAACCAGCCCTCCATGTGGCCATGACCGGCGGCACTTAAAGTGGCATAATTATCGCAACTATTGCCTAAATACCAGTAAGGAATGACCACAGAGTTGTCCACAGAGGACTCTTCCGCAGCACCACTATGGAATAATAATTATCGCAATTATTGACTAAATAGCAGTAATCAACGAACCATCACAAGGTCTGCAGGTCATCGTTGAGCAGGAACCATGCTCACCCTCTTTTAGCAATTGCAGTTAGAAAATCATGATCGACCCTTGTCCTTTTTGTCATGGATGGCCCCGCAGGCTGATGCCCTAGCTGCTACCGACCTCACCCTCATAGAACGCCCAGCCATTATCGCTGGATCCAGACTGAAAAGTGCTGCATCTCAGACTGAAAGTTGCCCCAAAGACAGCAATAATGAGGTGGCAATCTATTCAGGTGAAGACAGTAGTTTCAGATCAGAGGCACACAGCTCATGGCTCCAAGTTGGTCCAGCCTGTGCCTGCTACCATCTTCCCCGAATAGATCACACGATCAGTGTCGCTGTAGATAGACTATAAGTCGGCCAAAGTCTGCTATAATAACTATATGTTCAATTCAGGCGAAGCCAGTAGTCTGAAACCCTGCTGAATACCACGCATTTACGGGTACTGCTAAAGTTCACTTAAGGATTCATATCTTATCTGGCTCAATATAATTCTGAGACAACATAGCGCTCCAGCCTCACTGATTGAATATCGCTTTTATCCCAACTACAGGGAAGAAAGCCACAACAAAAAATGCCACAACGAGTGCTGACAAACCTAAGGTATCCATATCATCATGCAGCTCCTGGCCCGGCTTCAGGACTTGTCAGGACGAGAGATACAGACTATGTGCTGCAGAACACAGTCACACATCCAGTGGGTCAAAGGGACACCACACAGTGGACAAGAAAGAGACATTGGATAAGTGACTGGACCCTCATCTGCTGGAAAAATAGTGGCTAATCAGTCGTAAAAGGCCTGCTGTTTTTAAGCAGTCAAAATCACTAAGCAAAGAGCTAACACTCCATGAATGCGACAATCACAAAGCAGGGGACACGCCCTGGCAAAGTCAACTCCCTTCGCTCACACTTATCGACTCGACTCAAATTGCCATCTATAAAGCACACTCTGCCACCAGGGATCCACACTATAGATGCTGGCGAGTACACGTCACACAGCAGGCAACTTCATGGTTTGAGCCCTACTTCTGTCCGCCATGAAATAGCATCACCACGGACGTGGCCCCCACTATAGAGGTGGAGAATGCCCTAAAAACGCACAGATCACTGCGAGTCCAGGCCTTGGCATATATTGACAGGCACAAGGGCACAACGGCAAATACATAACCCAAGGCCCTCGGTGTTTTGCTATTGCATTCATGTTACAGGCTTACAGGTCATTTTGCAGCGTACGAAGACCCACAACAGCAGCAGTTAGACGACCTGAATGAACAGACAGAAATGCCGATGTATACGAAGGGCACAACGGCAAATACATAACCCACGGCCCTCAGTATTTTGCTATTGCATTCACGTTACAGGCTTACAGGTCATTTCCACAACAGCAGCAGTTAGACGACCTGAATGAACAGAGGAATGCCAATGTATACGAAGGGCACACAGCATATACATAACCCAAGCCACAACAGCAGCAGTTAGGCGACCTGAATGAACAGACAGAAATGCCAATATATACGACTTGCACAATCAATACCCCACCCAGGATTTGGGTACATCACCCAAATTGCGCTTAGGCAGAGAAGGAAACCGAAAAGCAAACCACTACCACGAACTGAGCTCCCTGTCAAACCCTCCCCTGCTCCACACTACTGGTCGCCCAGCAAAATCAGTGACAACCAGCTGCCTTAGAAACCACAATAGACCTGTTATTAAGGCAACTTGGGAAAATGTTAGTGCAAACTTGTGGCGGTTTAATTGCCTTAGGCAGCTGGTTCTCACTGATTTTGCTGGTTTCTAAAAAATCAGTGACAGGCAGTTCGGGACAACCAGCTGACTTAGAAACGACAAAAAAATCAGTGACAGGTAGTTTGGGAAAATGTTAGTTCGAACTTGCCGGGGTTTAATTGCCTTACAATAAACCCTACGTCAATTTTCACATCGTGCATCTATCATAACCTGAAAATCAGGACGAGGGGCTGTGACAAACTGTTTCGTCGGAGTTTCGCCGACACATAGTAGGCTGAACCCTCAACAGTCTGCAGAAGACGCAGAGAAGAGGACAACAAACAAGGGGCTGTGACAAACTGTTTCGTCGGAGTTCCACCGACACATAGTAGGCTGAACCCTCAACAGTCTGCTGAATCCCCAACCTGATTAAACTGTAAGTGATAATCCACCTTAACCTCGGTTGTGGTTAAGCATCAACAACTGCCCGACAATTGATAGCTTGAGGTGTGCACCAACCACTGCCCTCACGGTAGCTGTGACGAAAATCGAAGCAGACTATCACTCACCCACTCCAGAAAAAATCTACAGACTGTGGACTGTCATTTCACACCCCATCACAAGCCAGCAAAACACCCACGAAACAAAGAAAGTTCTATCTCAGCCAACAAATACACTACACACTGGCACTAGAGAAACAGCATGGCCACGTAGTGACGTATATACTGTCATAGACAACACAATACATTCTCCCGTCTACTCCAACATTCAACGCACATCAGTTTGTTTTATGTATGCGTGTTTTAAGTATTTCCCAGTGAACAATGGTTTTCAAGAACTGCGAGGGAAAGGCAAAAAGAACCTAAGAAAGGGTGTGACACATAGTTGATGCACGTGGGAAAGGCAAAAAAACACTAAGAAAGGGTGTGACACATAGTCCTTTGACCCAGCAAGTTGATGCACGTCAGAACTTCAGAACCTGAATTACACATCGATTTGGGGAAAGCAAATCGTTTTTTTTTTGTTTTTTTTTTTTTGTTTTTTAACAACACACGGACCCAGTGCCCAAGGCTTACGTTCTCATCAAACAGTTGAGGCCGGGATCCTCACAGTCTACCCGGATGGCTGGAAAGGCTTATATTCTCATCAAACAGTTGAGGCCGGGGTCCTCACAGACTATTCGGATGGCTGGGAGCATTACCCAGTTTCGCTTACGGGGTTTGACCACACCCCAAGGGGACAAACCCCCTGGAAATACAGACTGACAGAGACGAGAATAGTCCAGATCGAAACCGAGCCGCCCCTAACTCAAGGCAGTGGAGCCTTGGCTCCTCTAGGAACTGTGGAACTCCCTCCTATCCCCGTTTCCTTCCATCTAACAAGAGTTAATTTTATTTTTTTATTTTATTTTCCAAAACTTTCATTTACAGGAGGCCGGGGACCTCGCAATTCAACCCGGAGTTGTCCCGGCAGCATCAGCCGGTTTCGCTTATAGGCATTGTTCCTGATCCTGATCATCCAACAACTCATTCATTCTGTCTTAAAACTTGGCTTGGTACGTTCCCGACCTACCCTAGTTCTATGACTGTACCTATTGTAACCTAGACTACCTAACTACTACTGCACAGGCCTACAAAACGGCCCGAACCCCGCCCAATACGGCCGGGAGGAACATTTTTGTTCCCTTTAAAGAAATGACTCTCTTACCCTCCCAACCCTCTACTGTGGCCGCCGACCGGA